ATGGGAAACCCGTGGGGATTACAATTGAGATGAAAAAAAAAATGTGCAAAATTATGTAAAAATAAACTTTAAAAAAAAAAATTACCTGTTGACTCCTGTGAGCTATTTCCTTACTAATTTTCATATTCATAAACAGGGATTTCATTTTAGACAAATTCTTTGAGTTATGTTATCTTTAATAAGCACATTTACAAATACCTTTTAGAATTAATTCTATATTCAACTAGCTTCAATGCTTAACACTGATGCTTTCTAATTGCTGTACTCTTTTATCTATTTTCTTTTTAATATCAGGAGCAAATCTCCAAAAAAATATAGAAAAGGTAATAGTGGTATGCTTTCCCTTGTATGCTGAAAAGTTATTTATTTAGCACTCTCACATTTTTGCTAGATGGAGAATTCTTGAGTCTAATATTTCAGTCCTGGCAGTAGTCATTTTGATTTTTTTTCGAAGATTTATTTATTTATGCATACAAGAACTGGGATACAGGCCAGAGATGAGGGGGATGAAAGGATTCACGAAAGACAGACGTGGGAGCACACAGACAGATGTACTGAAATACACTGCTGAGGAGAGCAGTGGGTGGGTCAGGAGAGGTCTGCCACACCATGTGGGACACCTCCCCGGCCTGGGATTGAACCCACACTGCAGCTTCAGATAGCCTCAGAATGCTATGCTTAAAACCTGTTGTGCAACCAAGGAGGGCTTAGTAGTCATTCTGACTTTTCAACTTTAGTAGGCAACCTGTTTCTTCCATCACTATTTGCAGTATTAGTTCCTTGTCTTTTATTATTAATTTTTTTTAATTTAAAGACTTTTAAAGGATTTCAAGAAAAGCATTCAGTTTGTTAAAGTTCTACATTAGCTTATGAAAATTTTTATCAATATTATATCTACTGACTTCCTCTGATCTGTTTCTTAGAGGGACATAATTAAGTCTCTGCATGATTTTAATCCTATGTTTTAATCTAACATGTGAAATGTATTTGTAAAATTTAACTACATAAAAATCTCCTATACACAACTGACTCAATATTCTTCAGTGTAGACTGTTCTCTAGTCCTTCCACTGCTTTCAATTTTGCTATGAATTTACTTCCCAAATTTTTTATTTCACACTGTTCCCTTTCAATTTCTGTTTCTTTTTCATCTCAGTTAGCTACTTTTCCATCTAAGTCTACTATTTCACTTGCTATATAATATGTAATATTATTATATAATACATAACATTACTATCACTATCCCCTTGATATTTACAAAGGATCAATCTTAAAGTTATTAAAGAAAAAAAAGGTGATCTCCAAAATTAAACTCTATTCCAAGCAGAAAAATATTTTCAAAGTATACTTTCACTTTGGACACTAAGTACAATGTTCTTTTCCTTGTATGTCAGAAACTATTCAGTTGACATGAGATCAATATTTGAGAATAAGTAGGTGGAGTAAATGCTTCACTATTTATCCACTTCCACATATCAAGTTGAAGTTTAGCTGATATAAATAAACACAATTATCAATTTGGTGTTTTAGAATAGGAAGCTTGTCTTAGCATAATTTATTTTTATGTTTGAATCTAGCAGTCACAGGGCAAGATTTCTATGTTAAATATTTCCTAGTTCTATTCCCAACTGCATCTAGGAGAACACCCACCACACTGTAATGCTTTTGGCTTGGTATAGTCAATACCTGGCTGCTGTTTACAATCTATTATTCCACATAGCAAGATATCAATAGACTCTAATTGGCACAATGGCCATCTGTCCAAGGCTTGTCTTTATTTCTTCTTCACTCACCAATGTAATTATCCCAGGATGCACTCGACTTCCCACAGATTTCTTACTTTCCTACAAGTGAGACTTCTAAATAAGGTACCAGATTTTCTGAAGTGATCTATCAGCACTAAATCCAGCAGCAATTCATCAAAGTTTCTGAGTCTTGTTTGATTAAGTTAATATACAGGGTCCGGGTCTACTAGTTTTCATTATTACCTGTCATTTTGGCAGCAATCAATGGAGCAGGAATAAAAATCTAATTATCTGTGCTCAAGTTCCCATAATGCATAGAATTTATTTGGGTACAAATCTGAGAAGTCATCCTCCATTAATTTTCTACTTGGGACACTGGAAAAAATTCTCTCTGGTAAATTCTATTACTGTCCAAACAAGTAGATCATTACAATATTTATATTTGCAAACCAGAAAACTCTGTCTTAATAATGTTACAGAAGAAGAAAAAATCATATAAAATCCCCTATAAATAATTCAAGGTGATTTATCCAGTATGCCAGTCCTTGGAAATACATTTGTTTAAGATTTATTTATTTATGCATACAAGAACTGGGGTACATGCCAGAGGTACAGGATTGAGAGGATTCACCAGAGACAGAGTGGAGAACAGAACAGGCAGATCTATTGAAATACACTGTTAAGTGGAGCAGCTGACAGAACAGGCAAGGTCTGCCTTGCCATGTGGGTCCCCTCTCTGGTCAGGGATTGAACTCTTGATGCAGTGGCTGCAGATAGCTTTATAGTGCTATGCCACCAGGGAGGGCCCTGGAAATAATTTCATACAGCAATTTTTACAAGCTCGTAATTAAGCTTGAGGCACTAAAGAAAATGTTAAAATTAAATCATTTTATTAAGAGCACAGTGTAGTGTAGTTAATTCTTTAAAACTAGTAAACCAAGCATGACAAGTATAGTCACTCTATAATGCCAAGCATCATCAAAAATAGTACTATCCCAAACAAATCAAATGACAATTTCATAGATAAGCAAAAATATTCATTCCCTACAGCATCCCTACAGCAAACATTCTATGTTTAGCATGCTATTTTCCTGGATCCTACACATTAAAAAAAAAATTACTGGTTTTAATAAATTATCTATTTGATTTAGTTATTAAAGACACAGATAAAACAAAATATCAAGTAAATAGGTTAAAAAGAAACAAAAACTGTCATAAACTTTTTTAAGTAAACCTATCACTGGGTATTTTAATAAGACTTTTAATCCAAAGAAATAAAAAATAAGTTAAAAAGAGAGACTTTTTGTACCTCCCTGGTGGCTCAAGGAGTTGCCTCAGCACTATCAAGCTGTCAGCAGCCACTGTAGCACAAGTTCAATCCCCCACCAGGGAGCTCACCCACATGGCGCAGCAGACCTCTTCTGTCTCCCCTGATGCTCCCCTCAGCAGTGTATTTCAGATCTGCCTGTTCTGCTCCCCACTCTGTTTCCAGTGAATCCTCTCCCCGCTCCCCGCACCTATATCTATACCCCAGCTCTTGTCTGCATAAATAAATACAATAATTTTTTAAAAAACTAAAATAAAAAGAGACTTTTAATCCTACAGTGATTTTTTTTTTTTTTACTTTAAATTTAAATCTACCTTCCATCTCTCCCTCATTTGTTATAAAAAAGCAAATGTGGCCTTCCCTGGTGGTGCAGAGGGTTAGGATGCAGCACTGCAAGCTGGCTGCAGCTGCTTCAGTGAGAATTCGATCCCCAGCCCCGGAGGTGACCCACATGGCGTGGCAGACCTCTCCTGACCTGCCCACTGCTCCCCTCAACAGTGTACCTTGTCGATCTGCCTGTTCTGTTCCCCACTCTGTCTCTGGTGAATCCTCTCAATGGCCCTGCACATCTGGCTTGTACCCCAGATCTGTATAAATAAATAAAATCTTAAAAAAAAAAAAAAACTAAGCATGACAGGAAAACACTTTCATTTACCTGTTCATCTCTTTGTCTCCACTCTTGCCAATTTTCTTCTCGTGAATCCTTCTGTACTGGGTTTGACAATGAAAGTTCATGTTGAGTACTGCAAATTGCGTGGGAGGACTTCTGGGGTATTTTCTTAAAAGCAAGATTCCTGAGCTATAAAACAAAAAAGTATGTTCAGTTCAACTTAGAAATCCTATGACACTAATGATTTCTATAAACTAAAAAATCAAGAATATTTTAATACCTCTAAGCACTATGCCAAATATTCATTATGTTAACTCAGTCATTACTTGCTTTTTTGGTAATCTTTGTAGGATATTAATTTTGCCAGCATCTGAAATAATGTTGGTAGATTTATATGAATGATCTGTAAATGAAAATGGATTGTACTCTCTTATACTACCATTTTAATGATTATCTTACTAAAGAAGTTTTTAAGAGTAGAAAATAGGATCACAAGTGTGATTTAAAAACAGGATAACAAGTGCGCAAAACAGTAGGGCTCCGAAAGATTAAAGTTTAATTGCTTACAAATTTTAAAATTTAAATAGTAAAGAGAAGACAGCTTAAGCAACTACTTTTGTTAATTCTAAAAAATACATAGCTTATATCTTAAAGCAACATAATAAAGTAAAACTGCACTGGCCAAAGCAAACAGTAAGGATAATCTGAGAGAGAAAAATTTTGAGAGACTGTTAAGGGTTAAATTATATTATCCCCAATGAACAACCCTATCCTTCAGTGTCTGTGAATATGATTTTATTTAGAAACAGGGTCTTTGTATATGTAGTCAAGTTAAGATAAGGTGATACTGTGTTAGGGTGGGTTTAATCTAATATGACTGGCATGTTTATAAGAGGGGAAGACAAAGATACACAGAGAGAATGCTATGTAACACAGACAATAAATACAGTGATGTAGCCAGAAGCGAAGGAATGCCAAAGGTCAAAAACAGTAGCTAGGAAGAGGTAAGGATGGAATCTACTCAGTCTCAGAGAGAGTGCACTGCTTCTGACACCTTGGTTTGTACCTCCAGCATTTAGCACTATGAAAGAATAAATTTCTATTGTTTTAAGGCACCTAGTTTGTGGTACTATGTTATAGCAGCCCAACGGCAGGTGCTTTAAATAAGGACCAACAATTTTAACTGATAATAAACTGTTCTGCAAGAGGGAGTGACAAGATACAAACGCCATGTTAAATAGTTGGTTTCTGTTGCTGAAAGGACAGAAAAAAGATGCTGTGGCGATAGCATAGCAGGTAGACTACTGCTTTATTTCACAGAAAGTAAAGACTAACACAACTATAGCCATGGACATGAAAACGGAAGATTCTCAGACTCATTCTCACTAACATGTTTTCTTATTCTCTAATTACCTTATTTTCTCTTCCCCCACATCACCAATTTCAAAAAAGAAGTGAAATGGTAGACAAAGTTCTGAAAAGTTACTCTCCATTTGACAGCATTTTTTTCTATTATTTTTTTAAGGTGACATTAGTTTACAAGGATGTTGCTCATCTCCTCAGAAGTATGTTACCTCACCACACCCACAACCAAAGCACTCATAGTCCTCTATGAGTATACTCACTCCCACTTCTATTCTCCATTCCTATCTTTACTTTTCATTTCTAAATGTTTGCCTCAGTGTGATAGATTTCTAGGACTTGTTTTTGTCTGTTTTATTTTTCTATATTCCACATTTGAGTGAAATATCCAGTATTTGTCTTTCCCTTTTTGACTTATTTTGCTTGGCATTATCCCCTCTAGTTCCATCCACGCTATTGCAAATGGGAAGAGTTCACTAATTTTATAGTTGAGTGGTATTCCAACTGTGTATGGAATACAACATCACCTTAATCCATCTGTACTTGGGTACCTAGGGTACTTCTATAATTTGGTTGTTGTAAATAGTATTAAGATGAGCATACCTATGTAGTTCCCTTCAAATATTTTTGCATTCTTCGAATACATACCACAAGTAGAACTGTTGGGTCATATACATGGTACATCTGTTTTTAACATTTTCAGAAACCTGGGTCAGGCTACATTCCCAGGAACAGCACAAGAGGTTCCTTCTTCAACACTTGTCTCTGAGTTCTTTGACATGGGCTGATGGTATCTCACTGTGGTTTTACTTGCATTCTCCTAATAAGTGATGAAGAGCATTTTTTTCATGTGCCTATTAGCCATCTGTATGTCTTCCTTGAAGAAAGTGTCTGTTTTGTGCCTTTGCCCATTTTTTTGATTAGGCTATTTATTTTCTTTGTGTCAAAGAAATCTTGGGTAGTAACCCAATTAAATATTTTCTCCTATTAACTAGGGTACTTTTCATTTTAATGGTGCAGAAGCTTTTTAATTTGATATAGTTTCATTTGCTTATTTTTGTTTTGTTTAGAGTGCAGAGAAGTCACAAATACATCACTGAGGCAAATATCAGAGAGTGTTTTTGCTGTTTTCTTTCATGTGTTTTAAAGTGTCAGGTTTTACATCTAAATCTTTAATCCATTTTGAGTTAACTTTTGTATATGGTATGAGGTAGTGAGTGGTCTGGTTTCTTTATTTGCAATTGGCTATATAGTTTTCCCAGCACTGCTTATTGAAGAGACTTTTTTCCTCCAAAAAAGTCCATGTATAGTACCTGGTACTTTGTTGCAGATTAACAGTCCATCTCAGTTTATTTCTAGGGTCTCATTTTTTTCTACTGGTCTGTGTGTCTATTTTTATTACAACACCATACTGTTTTGATTACTACAGATTTATAACATAATTTGAACTCTGGAATGTGATACCTTTAGAGTCTTTTTTTGTCAGGATTTTTGGCAGCTCATAGCTTGTGGTTCCATATAAATTTCACTAATGTTCAACCTATTTCTTTGAATAATGTTACCGATACACTGAAAGAGATTACTACTTATTGTTCTGAATTAATATAATGCTCTGGACAAAATAGGTACCTTAACAATGTTAGTTCTTCCAAGCCATACATAGCGAGTATCTTTCCACTTCTTAGTGTCTCCTATTTCTTTTAACACTGTCTTAAAGTATTCATTTTATAAACTCTTCACCTCCTGTGTTAAGTTTACTCCTGAATATTTAATATTTTTTAAGGTGATAGAAAAGGGAACTGTTTCCTTGATTTCTTTCTCTTCTAGCTGTTTGGATATAGATACATAACTGATTTTTGTAGACTGATTTTGTAACATGCCACTTTACTGCACTGATTTATGTTTCTAATAGTTTTTCAATAGAATCCTTGGGGCTTTGCATTTATATTATGTCCTTTGCAATTTAGGTTTACTTCCTTCCCAAATTGGATTGCTTTTATATTTTTCTGTCACCTGACTGCTCTAGCTAGGACTCCAATACTCATGGTAGAGGTGAAAGTAGACATCTTGTCTTGCATCTGACTTTAGAAAAAATGTTTTCAGTTTTTCACCACTCAGTATGATATTAGCTATGGATATGTTCCTTCTACCCACAATGTTATTATAAATGGATGTTGAATTTTTTTTGTAAAGGATTTATTTATTTATGCTTACAGAACTGGGGTATAGGCCAGAGGTGTGGTGGGTGAGAGGACTCACCAGAGATAGAGTGGGGAGCAGAACAGGCAGACTGACAAAGTACACTGCTGAGGGGAGAAGTGGGAGGGTCAGGAGAGGTCTGCCGAGCCATGTGGGTCAGCTCCCTGGCTGGGGATTGAACTCCTGCTGCAGTGGCTTCAGAGAACTTCATAATGTGGTGCTCCAACCCGTTGTGCCACCAGGGAGAGCATGGATGTTGAATTTTATCAAACATTTTCTTGAGGTAAGCCTATTCATGTGGTAGCATTTTTTGATGTGGTATTTAGAAAGCAATGGTGATGTAAATAAATAGCACATAACATATGCTAAGAATGTCCAGGGGAGAAGCACCAGCCTAGCATGTATTACCCTTAAGAAAGAAAAAAACTGGCCCTCCCTGGTGGCGCAGTGGGGTAAAGCACAACACTCAGGAGCTTAGGCCATTTCCATATGAGTTCGATTCCCGCTTGCCCCTGAGGAGATCCACATGGCGCCGCGGACCTCTCCTGGCCTGCTCACTGCTCCCCTCAGCAGTGTACTTCGTAGATCTGCCTGCTTTGCTCCCCACTCTGTCTCTGGTGAATCCTCTCACCCTCCACATCTCTGGCCTGTACCCCAGTTCTGTATGAATAAATAAAATCTTAAAAAAAAAAAAGAAAAAAGAATATTTATAAAAGAAAGAAAGAAACCATAAAATTTTATGTTCCATGCTTGTTGTATAATTATTGTCTATTTCAGTAAAAAAAAAAAAAAAGAAAAGAAAAGGGGGGGGGAGCAGGGACAATCTAAAGATTTATCTCTAGGGTTCAGCTAACTTAAGTATAATAAAACCATACAGGCCCTCCCTGGTGGCACAGCGGGTTAAAGCACAGCATTAAGAAGCTTAAGCCACTTACACATGAGTTCGATCCCCGCCTGCCCCAGATGTTACCACATGGCGAGGCAGACCTCTCCTGACCCGCCTGCTGCTCCCTTCAGCTCCCCTCGTCGATCTGCCTGTTCTGCTCCCCACTCTGTCCCTGGTGAATCCTCTCACCCTCCAATCTCTGGCCTGTACCCAAGTTCTGTATGAATAAATACATCTTTAAATAATAATAATAATAATAATACAACCATACAAATTAAATAATGTAGTCATTTAAAATAATGTAGATCTTTATTTACTCCTCTATGGAAAACTGCTACAGACAGTTTTTAAAAGTCAGTTATAAAACTCTAATCTCTAATTACATTTTTGTTATGTAACATGAATACATGTATATCTACACATTCATATAAACTTGCACAAATTTACAGAAAACATATACCAAAATATTAATTGGTTATATCTTTAGCTGTATTTATAAATCATTTTGTTTCAAGACTTTTGTTTTTTTAGAAACTTTTTGGAATATCCACATAAGCTCCCATAATCAGAAAAAAGTGCAGGCATTTTAAAAATGTTCTTTACATTACAATTTATATATATACAAGTTACATCCATTCCTTCAAGTCAAGTACTTATAGACCAGGTACAATGGTTATATGTGTCAATAAAACAGCAGTACCTGTGCACAGACTAGTAGGAAAACAAACACATAATTTAAAATGTTACCTCATTTGCTTCACTCTGTTGTTGTTCCTTCTTTTTTCTCCTTTTCTCTCTCTTTTTCTCATTTGTAGTTGATTTGTTTGTTTGAGACTTTCCAGTATTCCGACCTTTGCCTTTTCCAGGCTCAGAATCAGAACCACTGCCACTATCCACTTGCAAGAGAGCAAAGCGAGAAGCAGTAGTGGGAACAGAACTAAGCACTGCTGAAGCCATTGTCAAGAATTCTCTTCTACAATACTTCTGCCAAGAATAATTCCTGTGGGAAAGATGAGGAAGCAGATGAGTAAATATGCTTAGTAAAACTTGATCAAGATTCTAGAACAATGTTTATATATATGTGTGTGTGTGTATACATATACATACACACATACATTTCCCCAGACACTGAACTTAGTAATTCTTGGATTCATAACACAGTCCTATTGGTTACAGCTTACTTTTTAGCAAAAGTAAACAATAAATCATATAAAAATGATATACTATGGATTCACAGACAACTACTGAAGATTGTCAACTATGCAAGTTAAATATCTATATCAAAACATTTTTTAAAAATTATGATTTTTTCTCCTTCAAATATATTGTTGTAATACAGCATATTTATGGAGAACATCCTAAATTGTCATGATCTACAATAGAACAGGAGTAATAATATAAATTTTCACCATACAGAGTTCCTTAATCCAACTACATATTTATTACCAATGTCCTAGACAGGAAAAATAAAGAATAGGAAGAATACTCTTAGATCCATATAAAATGCTACCATAATTTTGATTCTAAGGACTGCTATTTTTTTCCTAGAGACTGCTATTAAGTCAAAAAACCAATAACAAAATAGAGCATACATTTCCTCAACAAAGGAAATTCTTTAAAACCACATTCCGCAGTATCATTTAGTTCACTAGTCTCACAGCACCCTACCCATTCCACGTTTCAATGGGAGTGGTTTAATTTGGAGCCCCTCAGCTTTTAGTTGTTTTTTTTTTTTTTTTAAGATTTATTATCTATGCATATAAGAACTGGGGAGCAGGCCAGAGGTGCAGGCGGTGAGAGAATTCACCTGAGACAGAGTGAGAAGCAGAACAGACAGACTGACTTAAACACTGCTGAGGGGAGCACCGGGCGAGACAGGAGAGGTTTGCTGTGCCATGTGGGTCAACTCCTTGGCTGGAATCAAACTCCTGCAGCAGTTGTTATGGATAGCTTCATAGTGCTGCACTTTAACCCCTTGCACCATCATAGAAGACCTTTAACAGCTTTTTTTTTTAAAGATTTATTTTTTATGCATACAGAAATGGGGTACAGGCCAGAGGTGCAGGGGAGTGGAGAGGATTCACCAGAAAAAGAGTGGGGAGCAGAACAGGCAGATTGACAAAGTACACTGCTGAGGGGAGCAGTGGGCAAGACAGGAGAGGTCTGCTGCACCATGTGGGTCAGCTCCAGGACAGGGACTGAACTCACATTGAAGTGACTGGCCTCAGCTTGGCTTGGCTTCGCAGTGCAGTGCAGTGAGGAGATCCAATCCACTACTCCACCAGGAAGGGCCCCCTCTTTCAGCTTTTAAAGACTACTTTAGACTCAGCTGCAGTGTTAAATGTCCTCTAGTAATTTTTTAAAAGATTTATTTATGTATACAAAAACTGGGTGTAGGCCAGAGTGTGGGGATTGGGGAAGTGGGGATGAAGGACTCACCAGAGACAAAGTGGGGAGCAGAATAGGCAGATCTACTGAAATACACTGCTGAGGGGAGCAGCAGGTTGAAACAGGAGAGGTCTGCTGCACCTTATAGGTCAGCTTCCTGGACAAGGATCAAATGCATGTTGTAGTAGCTGGCAATAGCCTGACAGTGTTGTGTCCTTAACCCTTGAGTCACCAGGGAGGCACGTCCTCTAGTAATTTCTAATCCAAATTATTTTAGTATAAAGATGTGGTATCTGACATGTGATCTGACAAGTCATTCTGCATATTAATGACAAAGTCAGGAGCTGAAGCTAGATTTGCTGCATCTTAACTCTGCAAGTTTAATATAAGAAACCTTGTAACTACTGTAAGACTAGTCTGTTTCAGCAAAAAAAAAAAAAGATTTTCTTCAAAAATTATGAAACTCAGAAAATAATTTTTATTTTAAAATATTATAAGGCATACAATAGAATAAATATTAAGTTAAAAAACTGGAATATTCCAAGTATTCTGAACACTGACATTAACACATTAATCTAGCCTGTGTCTCTCCACAATAACAAACTTATTGTCTTCCGTTAGAAATAACTATTACTCTGATCTTTGCTACTTATTCCCGGTCATGCTTCAGTGGCTGCAATAGCTTCATAGTGCTGTGCTTTAACCTGCTGTGCCACCAGGGAGGGCCCTCCATAGGGTTTTCAATCTACTTTGCCCAGACCTATTAGAAAAATCACTACATATGGCAACTATAGCCTTATGAAATGTATTTAGCCTTATGAAATGTATTTCTTACATTATAAAACCTGAAAGTTGATCTGTGAGTTGCAGAATTTTTTTTGTTAGCAGACATAAAACAATATTAATCTCCTTGCTCATCTTAAACAGAGCTCTTGGATGAACAAGTGCATTGTCACAGAGTAATAATATTTTGAATCTTTTTTTTCCTAAGCAGTAGCTCTTAACAGTGGACTTAAAATATTCAATATTTTGCAAACAAATGTGCTGTCATCCAGGATTTGTTTTTCTATTCATTGAACACAGGTAGAGTCCATTTCAACTGGTAGGGGCCCCAGTACCTTCAGAATAGTTAATCAGCAATGGCTTCAATTTAAAATCACTAGTTAACATGAGTCCCTAATAGAGATCCTTTTAAGTTCTGAAAATAGACATTGTCTTCTCTCTAGCTCTAAGTGTCCTAGATGGTATCTTCTTTCAATATAAGCCTATTTCATTTCCATTGAAAACCTACTGGTTAATAACCACCTTAGTCAATGATATTACCCACATCTTCTGCTAACTTGCTGCAACTTCTACATCAGCATTTGTTTCACACCTTGTACTTTTATGGTAAGAAGATGACTTCTTAAGCCAGCCTCTGCTACCTTCAAACTTTTCTTCACAGCTTCTACACCTCTCTTAGCCTACACAGAACTGAAGAGAGAATCTTAACATGTTCTGGCTTAGAATTTGGCTTACAGGAACATTATGGCTGATTTGATCTATCCAAATCACTCATGTATTAACTTCAAGAACTTTTCCTTTTGCACTTACAACTTGACTGGTACAAGAGGACTCTTTCAGTCTACCTTGGTTTATGGCATGCCCTCCTCACTGAGCTTAATCCTTTCCAGTTTTTTATTTAAAGTGAAATATGTGAAACTCTTCCTTTCACTTGAACACTTAAGAGGGCATTGTTGAGTTATTAACTGACTACTTTAATACTATATCTCAGGGAACAGGAAGGCAAAGGAGTAGATAGGAGAAAAGCAGTTGGTGAAGTACTCAGAACAGACACAACATTTATTAAGTTCACTCTCTTATATAAGCATGATTTCTGATGCCCCAAAACCAATTAATATTGTTACAGCAAAGATCACTGATCACAAACCACCCCAACAGATATAGTAATAGTGAAAAAGCTTGAAATATTGTGAGAACTACTAAAGTGTGACAGAGAAACTTGAAGTGAGCACATGCTACCGGAAAAACAGAAATGCTCGACACAGTGTTGTCATAAAACTTTGCATTTGTAAAAGCATTATCTGTGAAGTACAATCAAATAGAGCACATTAAAATGTGGTGTGTATGTAGTTATTTCAAAGGACTTTTATAGTGTTAAGACAATTTGCTCCTATGCTTAGAAATATGCAAATCAAGATACAGTACCACATAAAAATGACATCACAGTTTTAAGTTGTGACATTTTTAGGTTTAAATCTTTGCTATAAGCATGAAAATTAAGGTTTTTAAGGGAGAAAATATTGCAAAATGGAAAAGTAGTACCAGGCTCAAAAATATTATGGAAAATATTAACTCTGCTTCAACTTCAACATGCCATGTTAAAATTCCATGCTTCATCTGCTTTGGAGAACTTTTTGAACAATAATACTACACAGCTGCTGAACAACTATTATCATACTCAGTTTTAACTGCTGGAACTATAGATTTCATATAGCAGCTATTCACAAATATTCACTCCCCCACACTAAAAAATAATGTATTACTTTCCTGTTGAATGCAGGCAAGAACACGTGACTTAGTTTAGCTAGTGAAATTAAGTTTTAAAGATCTTTAAAAGCAGAAACATTATACACCATGATCTCTTTTCCCTGCTTCCTCTATCTCTGTTTCTTTGAATTTGGCAAGTTTTGCTATAGAAGTGTATTTAGAGATATGGTCCCTATCATTAAGGTCTGATGGAGTCTGAAATTACAAGGAACAAATTCTCCTTAACTTGTGATGAGTATCTAGCTTGAGAAAGAAAGCAACTTTCTTGCTTTAAATAAGATTTTTCAAGCTATTATTACAGCTTTGTCATGACTAACGTCTTACACAAATTTCTTTTCCATTCTAAGACTGATATCAAAACTGTGAATTTCATACATAGATTGTTCAGTATGAGTTAAACATTCAAAAAGTGTCTGTTCTAAAACCTCTCTCCAAGGTTCACAGAAATTTTCTTTCTGTAACACCAGATGGAGCTTTCAGCTTCATCAAGACTAAAGCTTCCCTTAGTCTTGGGGCAGCCAAGAAAACTTGGAGAATTCTGAGCCAGTCACCAGCAGATATAAGCAGCCTCACCTGGTGCTTCCCAGAGGACAGCTGCCACATATACTGCTTTGCAGTTATTTGTCAACAAAGGAATTGCTCCAGCTCTTAGATGTGTACTTCATCAGACAGCTGCAGGATGTACTGCTGCCCATCATGGTAGACAGGCCCATGGAAATGCTGGAAGAATGACCAAAATACAAGGCCTTACAGGCAGCAGAAGTTGCCATCAGTTGCAAAATCTCACAAGTTCCAAGCAATCCCTGAGGTATCTATAATAACAAAAAGATATTTCCTGCCATTTGCCAGTGATACGCCTTTCTGATGGATAAAAGCTACCTGATAAGGTGACTGCTCAAATAATACATATGCTTTTTGCAAATTAGAGCTTCATCATTATTTTAACTACAATGTAGGGTTGGATTAAACTTTTATTCTGATCATAGAATTTTTTATATTTTCAATGAGAAAAGCTTTTCAAGTCTTTTCAACTCTTATGATTGAATGGCTATACAAAAAAATGGTTTGACTTTATTTACCTACTCACCTGAAAAAAAAAAATTCAACAGAGATTGAATTTGAAGAAATCATCATTTAGAAGTCTGGATCACATGCAAATCAAAACCACAATGAGATTCCAGCTTACTCCTGTGAGAAAGGCCCAAACCAAAAACATCAGGAACAACAAATGTTGGCAGGGTTGTGGAGAAGAAACCCTCTTACATGCTGCTAGGAATACAGATCCGTCCAGCCCCTACATGAAACAATATGGAGGTTCCACAAACTATTACCTACATATATTACATATCCATACACACACCATACAACACAGAAATTCACTCCTAAGAATCTACTCAAAGAATACAACAACATTTATTTGAAGGGCTATGCACTCCTGTGTTCATCGCAGCACTACTTAGAATAACCAAGTTATGGAAACAGCCTCTGTCCACAAGAACAGATGAAAGGATAAGAAGAAAGAGTACATACACATGCTAGAATACTACTCAGCTTCAAAAAAAAGGACTGTTGGTTATTTGCAACATTATGGAAAGAACCAGAAGGGATTATGCTAAGTGAAAAACTCAGAAGGAGAAATACAAATACCTGATGATTTTACTCTTATGTGGAATATACGGTAATAAAACAAGGGAACTGACAAAACTAAACCGAAACAAACCCAAGAAATGAGGCTGCAGAAAGGAGGCTACTAGATGGGGAGGGAGATGAAGGTGGAAACAAAAGGGGGATTGTGGGCCCAGTAGTTTAGGGTAAACGACTATGGATGAGTGTACAACGTGTAGCGTGTAGCAACGTGCATCTACTCCCCTACAAGGCATGACAGTGCTATGAACACTGTAAACATGTTACCTCAGTAAAACATAAATAAAAGTCTCAATCATGAGTTGTCTATTCTGATTTCATGCATAATTCTGCTACTAAACAATTATGTTCACAGAAACAAGCATAATTTTCTCATTAGAAATCCTGAAAAGATTTTTAAGTTTTATACAAATTCATTATCTAGTATCTTTCCTAAAACTTTCTATTTTGCTTTACCTACTTAATCATGTAAAAAAAAAATGCAACACCTTTCTTCTAGTCAGCTATATAGACACTGCAGACATCCTTTTGGGACAATGAATGCCCCAGGTGTTTTGTCAGAAATGCAAAAGTAAAATGGAAAAAAAGCACTGGTACAAGAGTGCTGACCAGAGGCCTTATCGAACCCAGCTTGGTGCTCACCATGAGTCTCTGAGCAACCCACTTGATCTGTTTCCTAATCTGTGAAATAGAGCAAGAATAACTAGTTCACTGGTTTGTTATAAAAATTAAATAAATTAATATATGTGATGTGCTTAGGACAATAGCCAAGACAACAGAAACACTCAAATATGAACATCTGCTGGTATTCTTACTATTGATTGAAATATGTTGAGTCCAATAAGGCATCGGAGAACTGGCACCATTACTTACAAGTGTGGCTAAGCATGTCTGCCTCCATTTCAGAAAGTGCTTTGAAACTTAAATCAGTATCTGGCCTTTCTAAAAACTATGGCTTTGATCTTTAAAACAAACATAAAAAGGTATTAGAATTGAGAAGCAATAGTTGGGCACTCAGTCACTGAAAAGTGTTAAAGACGTAACATACTGCAAAAGGAAAAGACCAACATAACTCAGACTCAGCACACACAGTGACTATGTCTTAAATAGGGGCACACAATAAACTAACTATTTCTTGAATGAATGAAAAGAAACAATAAAAGACAAAGAGTAACAAAAGCATTAGAAGAGTTAACTTTGTCAAAAGACAAATAGTTTTCTGAGGCTAGCAGAGGTAAAGGAGCAAATGTTCAGCTATAAAAATCTCATTTGAGGCCCTCCCTGGTGGCTCAGCAGGTTAAAGCACAGCACTATGAAGCTAAAGCCACTTCAGCATTAGTTCGATCCCTGCCTGCCCCAGAGGTGACCCACATGGCATGGCAGACCTCTTCTGACCCACCCGCTGCTCCCCTCAGCAGTGTACTTCATTGATCTGCCTGTTCTGTTCCCCACTCTGTCCCTGGTGAATCCTCTCACCCTCTGCATCTCTGGCCTGTACCCCAGTTCTGTACGAATAAATCAATCTTAAAAAAAAAAGTCAGTACATTAAAAAAAAAAAAGATCACTTGTTTGGTAAGAGTAGGGAAAGAAAAGAGAAGGACTATGGCAGCCACCTGTACTGTATTTTACATAACAGCAAACAGCTCTACTTGTCCTCAGCTGAATGGGTAAGAAGATGGGACAACAGAAAAGGTTCAATCATCTGAACCACATGCTGCATATATGATAAGTAATGAACACGTCATCTACCTCAATACCCGTAACACAAATCTATGTATCTACCATGTCAAAAAGTACACTAACCAGTATTTTCAGAAGTAGAAAAGGTGGAAAATGTAAATTTGAGATAAAAGGGAATCAAAATAACTCTCAATCTATAAATATGTACACTATTCATATATGTAGAAGAAAATGCATGAGACAACTTATTATGCTTATTCTCCTCCTACATTTATCATCAATATGTAAATCTCCCCAAATATTCTATATGGCTATACTTCCATTAAAAAAAAAAAAACGGGCCCTCCCTAGTGGCGCAGCGGGTTAAAGCACAGTACTGAGAAGCTAAAGCCACTTCTGCATGAGTTCGAT